TTCTCTTTTGTTGGACAACAGGTTTAGAAATGTGAATACAAGGGAAGTTTAGCTTTAGGCATTTTAATTTAAGCATGTTTAGCTTAGTTAACGGAACTAAGAATGTGGAACGTGAAAACAACACGGACACTCGCGTTACTACAAAGATTTGTTTGATTTGTATTATTAGAGATTTCCGACTTGAGTTTATGTGCATTTTCTCTGTCGGGAAATTATTTTTCACGTGCGGTGCCGGTGATGATGCTTCTTACGTACGTTTCAGAGAACCAGAGGTCAAATATTTCAATCGATAGCTCAGGCATGGCACCGAAATGAGGCACCGAAATCTGCGTTCGGATTCGGTTCTAGGACATAGCGGTTACATAGGTACCGGGTTTCGGTATCCAACCCTAGGGGTCAATTGAATCTTTAACTGTGCTTCAAAATGGGGAAGTCGTGGCCTAATGGTTAGAGAGACCTACGAGTTCGAGTCTCAGGTCCGGCAGGAATTGTAGGTGGGGGGAGTGAATGTACAGCGCTCTCTTCCACCTTCAATACAACGACTGAGGTGCCCTTGAGCAAGGCACCGAACCCCCAACTGCTCCCCGGGCGCCGCAACATAAATGGCTGCCGCTCCCCGGGCGCCGCAGCATAAATGGATGCCCACTGCTCCGGGTGTGTGTGTGTTCACTGCTGTGTGTGTGCACTTAGGATGGGATTAATGCAGAACACTAATTCCTAGTATGGGTAATCATACTTGGCCACATGTCACATCACTTTAAAAAAAAAAAGTGTTTTGTTTTGTGTCAGTGTGTTCAGGCTTAGCAAAGACGCTGATATTGAAGAACGCTCTTCTACAAACTTGAGTGAATTCAACAGATAGCTCATAGCCCACGAGTAAAACTTTGCATCTCATTTTACATTCAAAGACAAAGTTTTACTTTGAGACTTTATTGGTACATTAGCAAAAAAACAGCCTAAGGGTCAACAAGAGGGTGGAAATGGTCATGTAATATTACATTATCACTGCAACAAAACTTTGACAAACATTAGCATTGACCCCTTAAGAGAAATAAAATGATAAAAAATTCCGTGATCCCTTTAAGGACTTTAGATTGTGGCCTGATGCATTTTTAAAACCATATGGCGATGTTAAACCAATAAAAATAATTGACATCCAACGCCTTTTAAACACAAGGCATGTAGAGCAGCAGAAGACGCAAAGGAGGTGCTCTCTGATGAAGATCTTGCAGGGGGATTTCGACACAGTGTCGCTCAGAACCTATTTGTGCTAATTAGCATGAGAGCTGGTGTGGTGGATTTGGTTGGTTGCCTTTCATTTCGAGCTGACAGCTGTGACCGTGATGTGATATAAGCCTGAGAGCCAGTCGGGTGTGATACCCGAGCACTTCTGCATTACAGCCGTCGTCTGCCAATCATTGAAGAGCGAAATCCCACTTGGCACCGAGCAACTACCTGGCATGAGAAGATTAGCTACCTGAACAAGTCAACTTGGATCGAGTTTTAAATGAGAAAGCTGGGCACAGTCAATAGCATGACAAAGGTGCAGTGTTACATATAAGGGATGACAGAACAACAAGGATGAAAAAAGATATAGCCGCCCCATACAAAGAAGTCTGGTATGTAGTAGCCGCCCGGTCAAAGGAGTGTGGGACGTAGGCTTGATAATGTCAGTCAAATGCATAGGGACTTATCAGTGAAGAAGATCTCCTGAATACTTTATAATGTGCCATTCAAAGCATGTCATACAACTCGGTGAGCCAGAAGCCATCACAACCAGCATACCAAACCAGACTCTTGCTGAAAGCCCCTCGTCTTGTGTCAATGTGGGTGTGCAACACTGGCACTGGAGAAAGTCAGTTGGATTTTTTCACTACAGAACATGGAATCATGGCTGATATAATAGCACACTGAAAAGAGCATTCATGTGTAAAGAATCCTGTAAATAAGTAAAACTAGGTTTAAGGTTCAACCAGAATGGTACGCTGGTCTCACATCCAAGTACAAGGTGGAATTTGGAGGGATTTTCCAAAAAAAGAAACTGATATGACGTAGTTTTGAACAAAAGAAACTTCAAAGCAAGTTCGTTTACAGCAGGGGTGTCGAATTCAGTTCCTGGAGGGCCGCTGTCCTGTAGTGTTACCCTAATTAAACACACCTTAACTAATATAATCAAGGTTTTCAGACTCACTAGAAGCTTCCAGGCAAGTGTGTTGGAGCTGGTTGGAGATAAACTCTGCATGACAGTGGCCTTCCACGACTGGAATTTGACACATGTGGTTTTGAGCAGGGATCTTCAACCCTGCTCCTGGAGAGCTACCATCATGTAGACTTTAGTTCCAACACTGCTCCAACACACCTGCCTGTAAGCTTCTAGTGAGTCTGAAGACCTTGATTACATTGGTTCAGGTGTGTTTAATTGAGGTTGGTGCTGAAATCTGCAGGACAGCAGCTCTCCACAAGCAGGGTCGGAGACCCCTGCATTATAGTTTGTTTCTGGAGTTCAAACAGCTTGATAAAGCGGACTTTAGAAAAGTTTGCTCCGGCTGGTAAACACCTTCAAACTACCATTGGTCCATGGTAAATACTTAATAGTTAGGTGTGCTCTGAGGCTCATCTTCTTTGATATGTAAAGGCACCAATATACTTAAAGTGAAATCAAACAACGAAAGTGTGTGATGTAATTTCAAACAAACTCATACCAAAATTAAGTTTGTTTGCAATTCATTTTGGTAGTTCGAACCTACTTGCAAACTTTCCGGAAAACTTTGCTTCGGCAGGTAAATACATTTGAACTACCTTTGAGCCATGGCAGTTATGCTATAAGTCCATAATAGGTACGTAATACTGTAGGTTTGGCTCAGTGGCTCCACAATCCTTGATGTGGATATCTTCTCCAGTACATTTCTTTTGTTCAGTCCATCAAAGTCAGATGCGAGTAAATATGTGAACACACAGGAAAGTTGCTTTATAGTAGAAATTTAAGTTGTAATTCTAATTGAAAGCAACACTGAGACTTTTTTCATTTTTAATATTCTAAAGCTGCTTGTTTTAAAGCAATCTATTGTATAAAGTGCTATATAAATAAACATGACATGAATTGACCGGAGCGCAGAGTTGCGTATATCAGGACCTTAATGAAGGATGCACAGTCCGGCGGGGGATCATGTTGACGATGTGATACGAGCATGGAAAACCATTTACAGTGCAAGAGCGAGGAGTGTGAGAACACAAAACCCAGACACGACAT